AGTTACCCTGATTGGGCCAATGTGAGTTTGTAATAATTCTGATATCTTATTGCTGTTTATTTGGGGGGGGGGAATCCATTGAACTCAACAGAACTACTTCTGAATAAAATATTTAAGAGTTGGACTGACCTCAGCATTCTGTCAGTGATTTCTTTGTAACTCAAAGTTGGCGTGCTTGCTTGCTAAATTGTGGTGGTTTTTTAAAAAAATAACTATGTGCCCTCTTAGCTGTTTTGCTGATTGTTGAAGGAATCCAGCCAAACAATCAGCCGGAAGGGGTTTCTGACCTTCCTTTCCTATCGCCAGTAGGGGTTTTTTCGAACCATAAAACACAACTGAGCAAAGAAGCCCAGATCATATCCTCACAAGTGGCATTTTCAGTAGCTTATCCATAAACCTCTGCTTCTGGTTCTGATTAGACTGCTCCAAAGATGAGAAGAATACAAGACCAACATTAAAATTAACATTATTAATTCTGCAAACTATTGTAGATTCATATTAACAAGAATTGTGATGAATCTCAATTTACTTTATGAGATAAAATATCTGTCCAGTGTGGAATATTGTGATATTGTAATAGGACTATAAGGTTATAATAGCATTATATATTGCAAAGTTACCTGATATTGTAATGGTACTTGCTGAAATAAGATTTCACATAGCAGATAAAAAATAGCTTTTTGTGAAACACCAATGTCTGTGATATTCCCAGTCAAACTCCGAATACTGAATTGGATGGAGATAATGCTGTACTCCAAGGAGACTGATCCGAGCTCTTAGTTAACAGTCTTTACTATTGTTATTAACAGAAAACCACTCTTCCTTCCTTCCTTCCTTCCTTCCTTCCTTCCTTCCTTCCTTCCTTCCTTCCTTCCTTCCTTCCTTCCTTCCTTCCTATATCAAAATAACCACCTTGTAATCTATATGACGATCATGCATGCATGTAACTGGGCCAGCAGGAAGGATTATTTTGGGTACAGATGTCATCTTTTAGACTGCTTTGTTCACAGTAAATTTCAGCTCCATGCACTCTAGTGGATTTGAGATAGCCGGGCAAAGCCCATTGTGGGATAAAATAGCAAAGCTTCTCACTTGTATTCACATTTAAATCTATGTGGGATTGGTGGGGTTTTGCCAAAAAAATGTTCACAGGACCCCCTCTTGATGAGAAAAATTATTAGTAAACTTGGGAGCACATTCACTCCTGGAAACCATATAAAACACAAATACATGGTGTTTTTCTTCTGCTAATGATGGCAGTTTGGCAATATTATCTGCTGAGATAATCAGCTTTGGTAGGGAAAATGTTTCTCACCAGTCCCTTTTTGGCTCGGTTCTCTGCAAGAGAGAGAGAAAAAAAGCAATGTAAATAGAGCCTGTGTGAGTGGGCTGTTAATGGAAGAGTTGCCAAGTCTATATGCAAGTTTCTACGTACAACTGCAATTATGGAAATTTCTCCCCAGCTTTTGAATCGTTAGAGGCTTACAGACTTTTTAAATTAAGATGTTGTCAAAAATATACTGCAGGCTATTCCTACCCTTATTGCCAAAGGAGCTTCTAACACAATAAACATCATTAACATAAGAATCTCATGGCAGCTTTTTGTAGATATGTATCGAACATCCATCCCCTAATATTAAGTGGTGATTTGTTTCATCATATGTGTGTAACTTTGCCATCTGTCCATTACTTTAAGACTAAAGTATTTACCATTTCAACAATATAACAAGAATTTAGTACGGCTTTTATATCTGTTGGGTGAGCTGGAAAGGGATGCTGTGGACAAATTCACAGAAGTATGACAATATGATATTTTTTATTTAATAACTATTTATTACTTAATTTAACATTTTATTTATCAAATTTAAACATTGCCCATCTAAGTGACTCTGGGCAGTTTACAGATAAAAAGTCATAAAATCATACAGTATAAAAGATAAGAATTGAAACAGAATGAAAACTGAATGAGAAGGAGGGACTTTCTCTCAGGCTCACACCAGGCCCTCCTAAAATGGCACACTGTTCTTTGATCCCCATACGGATTGGCAGAGCCAGGTCTTCATGCTCTTTGGAAGGCCGGGAGAGTGGGGGCCAACCTCACCTCTGGAGGCAAGATGATCCAGGGGGTGTGGGGCAATGGCAGAGAATGCTCTCTTCTTAGATCCCACCAGTAGGAATTCTTTAACTGACAGCGTCCGTAACATACCCTTTCCGCCTAACTGGGTGGGACGGGCTGGGACAAAGCGCTTCCTTATGTAAAATGATCCCGTGCTATGAAGGATTTTAAAGGTGATAACCAGCACATTGAATTGGACCGGTAAACAAACTGGCACCCAATGCAGTTCACATTTTACTGCAATCTGTTAAATAAATCACAATTGCTGAATTCACTCTTGCAAAGTATTAATAGCATAGGAGTAAAACTTAAAAATTACCCCATGCAACAAGAGATATTAAAAACAGTTACAAAAATAATTTTAAAAAACCGAGAAATAAATGTAAACTTCTACAAGACTCGAAAGAGAGAGGGGGTTTTGGACTTCCGGATTGGAGACTTTATTATCAAGCAGCTATTTTGCTTTGGCTTAAAAAATGGATTACTCTGAGAAATAAGCAAATTCTCTATTTAGAGGGATATGACCTTCAACTAAGCTGGCATGCCTTTTTATGGTATGAGAAAGCTAAAACACATAAGTATTTTCAAAACCATACTATAAGAAATGTTTTACTTACTGAATGGGAGAAAGTTAGACACAAAATGTATATGAAAATTCCTGAGTGGCTTTCAACGATGGAAGCATTTGCTTACCCAAATTTGATTAATTATGATAAACTTGTTAGTTACAAAGACATTTTGGACAAGGACGGAAAACTCAAAGACAGGCAAGCCCTTCAACAACAAGGTATTGACTTAACATGGTGGTCCTATTTGCAAATTCAAACAAGATATGAAAAAGACATAAAAATAATGGGATTTTACAAAGAACTGACTCCACTTGATAAAATACTTTTCAAAACAAATGAACATTTGATTAACAAACTTTATAAATACTTATTAAATTGGAAGATGGAAGAAGAACATGTAAAAGAGACAATGATAGTATGGATATTCTATAGAATTAGAAGACTGGCAAAAACTGTGGGATAAAAATATTAAACTTACTAAAGCAGTAACATACAAAGAAAATTTATATAAAATGTTTTATAAATGGCATATGACACCAGTTCGATTAGTGAAAATGTTTAAAAATTTATCGGATACATGTTGGAAATGTAAGCAAAAACCGGGTACTTATTATCATGCTTGTTGGACATGCTCTGTCGCAAAAACATATTGGTCTAAGATTCATAGATGGTTAGAAAAGATGACGAAAATGCAGATAGAATTTAAACTGGAACTGTTTCTCTTAGGAATATTAAGACCTAACTATGGTAAAGAAAATGATTATTTAATATTACATGTATTAACAACTGTAAGAATAGTATTTGCCCAATTTTGGAAAAATGAAAATCTACCATCAGACCAGATTATAATTTTGAAAATCTTAGATTGTGCAGAAATGGACAAATTAACGTTAGAGATGAAGGAGAAAGAAGACTCAATCTTTTAGAAAACTTGGGGAAAATTTTATCAGTGGGTTGAAACACATTAGAATAAGAAGAGGTTTTAGAGTTTTATTATATTAAGCATTAAGGTTGATGATTGGAAATAGTTGTTATGCTACCAACTATGTTAATTATTTAAAGGAATATTAGTGTTTTACCAAATGTCAGTTGTAACTATACTGATTTATTCTTATAACTGTCTAGTATTATATAAGCAATAATACTTATTATGAAGACCCGGAAGACAGCTTGTTTGCTGAATTACTTATTACTGTATTTATCCACAAACTGTCCCTTTTATCCCAATTTTCCTGTACCCGCACTGATCCTACTTTTCCCTACCCATATAAAATCTAATAAAATATATTTTTAAAAAAAACGAGAAATACATTATACAATCTTAACCCAAATTTTATTCTGAACAATTTATTTTTAAACCAAATTACAAAATGCTCAATAAAGATAATTCTTTATCAGAAACACCAATAGGAGCATGCTTCATCCCGCCTGGGGAGAAATTAAAAAGGTAGCCCCAGGGAAAAGTGTGGGTTGAACTTCTGGAGCAGGTGATAAAACATTGGTTGATGCAGGTTCAGGGATGGAGACATTCTTATACTATGCAGGGAAACTCCTGTTTGAGGTAAGGTCCTCTTTTTTGTTTATTTATTTATTTACTTGTCAACTGCGTAACTCTAGGATGAGTTCAAGATTCAAAGAGGTAGCATGACATGTAGCATAAATACAGTAATAATCATAATAATAAAATCCCTCTTTCTAATTAATTTTTAACATCGCTTGCCTCTTTTAAATTTTATATACGATGCTCGTGTTTTTAATATTGCATTTGTATAGTACCTAGACTGAGGGAGATGGGCAGTTCTTAAATATGATAAATAAACAAATAAATAGTGTGTGTTCTACTCACTAGGTTGAACTGGAAGATCTCCAGGGTCTCTTCCAACTCTGTTATTCTGTATTCTCTAAGTCTCTTGTTATGTCCAACTACTTATTAAACACCATGGGTTTGATTACATTGTCTACTCTCTCTTGTTGCTCTATTGAGCCTGAGCTAATGTGATGTCTGCTGTCTTTTTCTCCCCTTTCCCTTCTGCTGTCTTCTCTTGTAAGAGAAAGATGTACATCTTTGTGTTGCCATGAAAAACGTAATAGTCCTGGCTTGTTCCTTTTTCTAACACACCCCATGCCCATCTTTGGGTAGTATGTGAAATCTAACCTCTTCTGGTGAACAACACTCTTGCTCTACGGCCCAAAGCTCAAAATTTGCAGGCATGTCTGACTCACAGAATTCTTGAAATAAAACCCTTTTTAAACACTGGGAGGAAAAAGGACTACCATCAAAGTCTTTCCACAAAGACTCAAAAGGGATCGAAGTGATGGGGATTCATGAAGAATCTGCCCTTGTTCAGCTTTTGCAGAGAAACGCCACCAGCAACTTTGACAAAAGAAGGTAATGAGTGGGAGCGTCATACACCTATAAATGGATCTAAAAGTGCATTTCATAGCTTAAATATTTAAATATACGTTTGTTTTGGTTAATTTTTAGTTTCGTGTCACAGCATGAAACTTTACTTTCATGTTTGGTTTGCTTCTTCTGAACAGTGAGTGTACCACAGAATATTTTAAGAAATGCATGTTTTGCAAACAACACTGTTTCAATCCCTAAGGGTGCACATACTGTATCATGACATGTTACTTGTGGGGTGATCTGAACTATGATCTGTGCCTGACCATATTTGACTGATGAGTCTCGGACTGAGCGCTTGGTGATACCTTGATCCAAACACCGGGAGTCTTTTTAAATCTCTGACAGGCTTTGGGTGCAAGAGCAGCTGCAAGGAGAGTTTTAATCTTAGGGAAAACTAGTGATTGTCTTCAGAACCTCAGGAGTGCTGCTTGCAATGCGTGCCTGAAAGAAATTCCAATAAACCCAAGGGGATCTATTGCAGACTGTGTTGATCTTGAAGATGACTGGATTCCTTTTTTAACAAAGCGTAGCATGAAAAACGTAAATAAATGCCTGCTCCAGTTTATACGTCAGCTACAGTAGATGTCAATGCTGTAACAATGGATGTTCCCGCTCTGACAACTGATGGAAATTGCAGCCATTTTTGCTTTGCTTTTAATATACTTTTTCTTCTGTTTAAAAATTAGATGTAGAAGGGGGGATGGGGTGAACTCTTGAACTCAGCTAGCCATAATAATAATAATGCAGCTCCATGGGAACTCAAGGACACGAATTGATAACGTTTTGGTGGGCTGAGGAGTTGGGGAAAGAGCCCACACTTCAGGCTAATTGGAGAATGTGATTAATGACTGCTTCATGGGGGTGGGAATTGCAATTTGTTATGTTGTATCTGGGGGAAGGGAATCTAGTTTTGGGTTGAACTATGTAGTGCCAATACAGACAAACCTACATCAACTTTATAAAATCTAATTTAACCCTAACTTATTTAAATTCTCTCTCTCCCTCCCTCCCTCCCTCCCTCCCTCCCTCCCTCCCTCCCTCCCTCCCTCTCCCACAATCTAATCTAAGAGGGATATGGCTAATATGTTCATTTATTCTGCACTTTTGTGTCATTGGGAATGCCTGAGTACCTGACATGTTAAGAAAGAACACCTCAAGAGCGCCCAGGGGAAAGACATCAAGTTGCCAGCCAAGTTGATACCTTCCATCTGCCCAAATGTCCACCCATCCATTGATGATGAAGTAAAAGATGATTCGGGATCTGGAGGCTAAGTCTTACGACGATTGAACTAGGCGTGTCTAGCCTAACCAAGAAAAGGATTAGGAGTGTCATGATAGCTGTCTGCCAATAGTTGAGGGGCTGCCAGAGAGAAAAGGGGGATGGCCTGTTCTCCAAAGCATCTGGAACAGGATAAGAAGTAACCAACCGAAAATCATCATGGAGGGATCCAAGCTAGAATGATGGATAAATATCCTGATAGTAAGAACAATGAATCAGTGGAAAGGCTTGCCTCAGGCTAATTGGAGAATGTGATTAATGACTGCTTCATGGGGGTGGGAATTGCAATTTGTTACGTTGTATCTGGGGGAAGGGAATCTGGTTTTGGGTTGAACTATGTAGTGCCAATACTTTGTTTCCTGAACAAAATGTTCTTTAAGGAAGAATTCTTGCCTTGAAGTTCTTTTGATGGGTTTCATCTATCGGAATCATGAGAGTATATGCAAATACAACTCAACAGAACGTTCTCACTTACAAGTGCACCTCAGCTGAGAAAGGAAGCTCTATATTGCTTTCCATGGCTTTCCAAGTGGCACATCGATTCCTTAATCTGTTCAGATGGAAGAGTACAGCGCTGTCTCCCAAATTTCAATCGGTGACCTTTTAACTATGATGCAGAGAAACAACAGGCTATACAAAGTGGATGAATGGATGAATGGATGAAGAAACTGGGTCCAAGCAATTTCTTCAGGCTTGTAAACCATTTTGCACATTCGTAAAATCAGGCAGGAGCACGTGACCTGCTTAACAAATGGCATAAGGCTGCAACTTTGGAATTGGCTACAGTCATAAATCGAGGACTACCTGTATTATAATGAATGTCAACTTAATGCAGAACATAATTTTTATAGCCTTATTTTCTGTATTTGTTTTCTTGTACAAAACATTCCATCTCCATTATTGATCATGAAGTAAAATACATTTTAAAATAAAATATATTATATTTAATGAAGAAATATATTCAAACAGCTATCTTTGAAAGAGCAGGAGAGGTAATCTAATGCTTCATTCGTTTTTATTCAATGGCCTGCAAAGGAGGGCACTTACAGGCACTACATGATTTATAGCACATACTACAGACTCATGAACCCTACATAAGAAGACAAACCTACATCACCTTTATAAAATCTAATTTAACCCTGACTTATTGAAATTCTCTCCCTCCCTCCCTCCCTCCCTCCCTCCCTCCCTCTCCCAGGATCTAATCTAAGAGGGATACGGCTAATATGTTCATTTATTCTTCACTTTTGTGTCATTGGGAATGCCTGACCTTAACTGTGTTAAGTATTTTCTCTTATGAGGAACAACATTAATGCCAGAAGACCCAACAAAGAAGCTATCTCAGGCATTTCAGGGTCAGCCAAAAATACACTGCAATGAGTACGATTTCCATATTTTTGGAGAAAGGACCCTTCCGTGCAATAAAAGATAAGAATTGAAACAGAATGAAAACTGAATGAGGAGGAGGGACTTTCTCTCAGGCTCACACCAGGCCCTCCCAAAATGGCATGCTGCTCTTTGGTCCCCACATGAATTGGCAGAGCCAGGTCTTCATGCTCTTTGGAAGGCCGGGAGAGTGAGGACCAATCTCACCTCTGGAGGCAAGATGATCCAGGAGGTGGGGGGCAATGGCAGAGAATGTCTCTTCTTAGATCCCGCCAGTAGACATTCTTTAACTGATAGGGTCTGTAACATACTCTTTCCGCCTAACTGGATGGGACGGCCTGGGACAAGGCGCTTACTTAAGTAAACTGATCCCGTGCCATGAAGGATTTTAAATTGGACCGGAAAACAAACTGGCACCCAATGCAACAAGAGATATTAGAAACAGTTACAAAAATAATTTTTAAAAACCGAGAAATATATAACACAAACTTAACCCAAATTTTATTCTGAATAATTTATTTTTAAACCAAGTTACAAAATACTCATAAAGATAATTCTTTATCAGAAACACCAATAGGAGCATGCTTCATCCAGCCTGGGGAGAAATTAAAAAGGTGGCCCCAGGGAAAAGTACGGGTTGAACCTCTGGAGCAGGTGATAAAACATTGGTTGATGCAGGGCCATTGGTCTAACGGGCTATCGTTATCCACCACAAGATTTATATGCATAAGATAATAAAAAATGGCAGCTGCTGACCAACACAAAACACAAGAGGTTAGGATAACCTGGCTGCCAGAGAAGTGTCCAACTGGTGGGGGGAAGGAGGTATGTCCCAGGCACTGTAGCTAATCAGAAGGACATGCAACAGGCTATCCCCTCAGAAAGATTAGTTGTTGTTGTTGTTGTTGTTGTTGTTATCATATGGCATTGTTACAGTAGCCAGAAGACCACAATGCTATTGCAGAGTAGTAGTTTCGCTTGCCAAGATACCAGCCCTGTTATAGGAAATGCTTGTGCGTTTCCCAAGATGCATCGCAGGAGGACAAGTTGGCTTTGCACCACAGAGAAAGATGAGCGGCTCTTTCTGCAGCATCACCCAAGGCCCCCGATCACAATGACATCATATTTCGAAGTGCCAAACTCCATATCTGCCACGGTCCCACTTTTCTACACATGCTGAAAACCCCCATCCCTCCCGAAGACTGCCGGTACCACGAGGCAGCACCAGCCATGACCGAAGGGCCACATCCGAGTGTAGGTGAAGGATAGGTAAATCACTGAGGCTCCTGGTAGAACATGGCAGAAAAGTGGGGTGAAGTTGAGAGCCCAGGAATGCCAGCAGCGTCTCCCTCGGTGGACATTCCCATCCAATGGCTAGCAGGTGCCTGAGGATTATATTTGTTAGGCCTGGGAAATTTTACACATGCACACTTGCAACTGGGCATGACAGACTTCTCTGACGTCTTTGCATCCTCAAAATTGAGGAGAAGTAGACCGATACCTTGTGCTCTGGAAACCAGAGAATTATGGGAGATGACTATTAGGAAGTAAAAAGCCAAACCAAAATCAAGAAGTCCCACTGATGTTATTGTTGACAATATGCTGCAAATTTAATTGCTGTGTTATATTCGACATTTTCATATTATTTTTTGTAGCCCTGAACGGGTCTGGAAGTGGGTGAGAGAGAGGAAAGCTGCTGCTATGTCAAGCTCTAATGGCGGAAGTTTGGGGAAAATATTCTTTATTCTCAGATTTCAATTACTGACTCTGTATGAATGGAAAAGCGTACGGGGGAACTTGTTTTACTAGTAATAATAACAATTAACATGATCCAAAGAGATATGAGTTAATAATGTCCAAAGTAGGATTAAAATACAAAAGTAACAATTAATAGCTAGAGAAAAGGGGGGTTGGAGAAAGGGAAAGTTGCTTCTTGCAAGAGCAAGAATATCTCCAATTCTGCTCTCTCACCTCTGCACCACTTTGTCAGTTTAAATTGTGCATATTTCTCCAACAATCTCCCTGCTTTCTTCAGTGGCACTAATTTTTCTAAGGTGTTTTTCTTCTTACTTCAGCCTCTGATTCCACCAAACGCATCAACGGGATTTTGTAATTACATTTTTCCCAATATTGAAAAATACTGAAATATTGCAAAAAGGAATAAATCTCTGAGTAGCATCCAAACAGCCCATCACTTTGCTTTGCTTTTCCTTTTTGAGGTCATGCTTCATAATGGTGGCGACAGGTAGATGAGCTCACAAAGGAGAAGTAAATAAAACTTCTGGTGGGCTGAATGAAAGCTCTTGTGGGTTTTGAGTAGTGGTGGCGTAGTCAGGTTTTGCTTTTATTTCACAGCGTTTTAATAGCTTAGCTTTTGTTTCTTTTTCGGTATTTATTTTCCTGCTTATTTATCTTTGTTTATTTATCACATTTGTTTATTTACATTTATTTATCTATTTATTTATAATTTACCTATTTATCTATTTATTTATCTATTTCCATATTTATCTATTCATTTATCTATTTATTTATCTATTTATCTATTTATTTATTTATCCATTTATTTATCTATTTGCATATTTATCTATTTATTTATCTATTTATTTATCTATATCTATTTATCTATTTACCTATTTATATATCTATTTCTCTATTTATTATATTTAATATATTTATTTATTTAGGTTAGGATTAGTTTAGTTTAGGGCATTAAGGCATTATTTATCTTATTTAATACATTTGTTTATTTCTATTTATTTATCTGTTTGTTTATCTATTTATTTGTTCATTTATTTATCTATTTACCTATTTATCAATTTATTTATCTATTTATTTCTCAATTTATTTATTTATCTATTTATTTATTTATTTATTTATCTATTTATTATATTTAATATATTTAGTTAGTTTAGGATTAGTTTAGCTTAGGGCATTAAGGATGGAGACATTCTTATACTATGCAGGGAAACTCCTGTTTCAGGTAAGGCCCTCTTTTTTGTTTATTTATTTATTTACTTGTCAACTGCGTAACTCTAGGATGAGTTCAATATTCAAAGAGGTAGCATGACATGTAGCATAAATACAGTAATAATCATAATAATAAAATCCCTCTTTCTAATTAATTTTTAACATTGCTTGCCTCTTTTAAATTTTATATACGATGCTCGTGTTTTTAATATTGCATTTGTATAGTACCTAGACTGAGGGAAATGGGCAGTTCTTAAATATGATAAATAAACAAATAAATAGTGTGTGTTCTAGTCTTCTGCGTGCTAAACTGCATTGGCCATTAGTCCTGGTTAACCCTAACCCTAACCCTGTCCCTTGTCCCTTTTTAGCACTGGGAAAGGTTCAGAGTGACATTGATCCCTATTTCAATTCATCAGGTGTAACGAGGGAGGGGAGAGAGCCCCCACCCCTTCCTACTGTGTTTGGCTGTGACAGATGGAGACAACTGCTGCAATGCATGGATGTGGTCCCCTTCCCCAAATACCTGTTCCCATGACAATCAACCCACTTGCTTATATCACTGACTGCTCCCTCACTATACACAACAGTGGAACCTGAACAGTACATGTAGCAATGTCTTCTCTGATTATCAGCCCAGAACTGGGTCGGAGGAAAGATGGAGAAAAGCTGGCACGGGCTGACTGATTTAATAGTATTTTTATACGGATGACTCCATAGCAACTCTTCACAATTTACAAATAGCTGCCTAAAATCCACACAACTAGTAATCACGAGGCCCAGAGTCACCCTACACTAAACTAGAGATGGGAAGATCCTAGCTTCTGACCATGTTGTCATCAGCACTGTCAATTGTTTGTACAGCCAGGTTTATATTGGAAGAAGAGGGCCATTAAAACATCACTTTAACTGCAGAGCAACTAAAGGGCAGCTTTAGCTGTCCCTGCAGCTGGCTGGAGGTGAAATTCAGGTGATGCCATGAGGGTTGTTACTTAACAATGGCTAGTGAGGGTCTTCATGCTATGGTTAGAGGGGCAGGAGGATGAACTAGCTGATTTGATTCACTCCAACTCTCTAAACAAAATTAGCATACGGGATCCAGTGGAACTTTTGTTCCTGTTAATCCTTTTTCATAAGTGGGAAGTTCTACCATATTTGTATTTTTTTAAAAAACCCAGTTGGCCTTCTGAGTCTAGGATCCCTTCTTTCCAGACTGAGTTGACTTTCTTTGACTCCAATAGCAAAAGACCATCTGAAGAAAAAGCCTTGGAAGTATAATTTCCCATAAATTCATTTTTTCTTTTCTATTTTTTTCAAAAAAGAAAAAAATCTGAAGCACGACATTGGCCAAGCATTGATATGTGCTACTGCGATCGTATCCACACTATGATTTATAATACTTAGTAAATTCGCCTCCTCCAGCTGATTTGTCCTGAGCTGTTCAAAATGTCTTCTTTTGGCAGGTCTGTCTGCAGAAATACAGAGACCACCAAAGAGAACAAAGTGAGTAACCAACTCTTTTGTTTGTGTGGAACCTGTGGCAGGAGTGGGGACACAAAGGCAACCCTCCCTCTGCACCACACCTGACTCTTCCTATTTAATGACCAGTCTTAAATGTTAGTGTTGTTGGTGGGTTAATACGTAATGTCTTTTGGGAATATTGTTTAACAACACAAGTGTTTTTCCATAAAAATACAGAACAGAAGCAGACAGACGAGGTGACATCCTCACAGGAGAAGGAGCTGGCAGAAAAAGATGCCACCATAAGAGCTGTAAGTCATTCATTTCCCTCACAATCCTGATTTAAGCCCCCTCTTTTTGTCTGCGTATCTATATCCGATGACTGATGCATGCTTCCTTTAATTTCCGCATCTTAGTTGGAAGAGGAGAACAAGACGTTAGCCAGCGAACTGGCCCATCTTCTGGAGCGGAATGAGGAACTCAAGCACTTAACAAATCTTGATCCAGAAAGTGAGTCTTATTTTAACTTAAGAACATTTTAATTGTTTTCATTTTAAAAACCAAAGTGATTTATTCATCTTGGCTGTACGAGTTCTAATTTTTTGTTACTTTTTTTGCCAGGAGAGGCTGACAGAAAGGAGTTGGAGGTTGCAATATTGAAGAAAAAATTGGAAATGGAGCAGAAGGCAATCAGCCGACTCACCGCTGTAAGTATCTTACATGATAGTAAGAAATTAGAACAACCTCTGTAAGCCAGATTTTATAATGTACTAACTGTACTTGCTCAATTTCTTTTAACAGGAGGTCTCAAGAGAGAGGGAGAGGAGAAGAGACCTCATGAGAGCGCGGGACCGGGCAATCGATGCCATCTGCTCCCAGCTACTGTCTATCCCTTATTCGGAGAGAAGATTGTCGGTGAGCTTTGTCCTTCTGCTTCTGGGAGAGAAAGAGACATATTTCAATTGATGACTCTCTACCCCATTCTAAAATATTTGTTTAACAATTTTCAGCCTCTGCAAGAAGCAAATAGAAAAAAATATCTGAATGCGTCAAGAAGGTAAATGATACCATTTTTAAGACATTACATGTTTTTTTCCATAGAAAAGTTATCATACAACATTTGGTAGTAAAAATCAAATCAATTTTGCAACACAATTTTTATTTTTTTACAGTAGCTCGGGGTCAAGTGAAAACAGATGACTCTATCGCGGTCAAGAACATGTGGGTTCCCAACCGCAGATTGTAGTAGAGATGGAGTAAGTGATCTGATATGTTTCTGTTTCATTCTGAATATGGTCAATATTTTCGGGCAAATACGGTAGGAGTCATGCAAAAAAAAAGAAGAATTTTTTTGTTTGAATGTTTCCATGAATTATCCTGAAATTTTCACATTCAGGTTAGGCTATAACATTCAGCCACGAAATAGGAGATTTTAGACAGAATGCCCTCTCTTATGCCATTAGAAATAGAGCTTAGATGGCTTTTCTTGATGTGCTGGGTTGCATTGTTCCAAAGGCAAATGTAATTTAAAAATTTGCTAATATTCTACCTGCTAATTTTTGCTGAGAAGTTATTCATCAGATTAACTATTGTCTCTTTCAATTGGCTAGTTTGCATTAGACAAAAATGCTGTTTGATGTGTAATTTAATGTGTTAGTTATTTTTTATTGAAATTCTTATCTGTGTTTCAAAATAAGATCTGGTTTTTCTTCAAATACAATCTTCAAATACAGGATTGCACTAACATGACTTCCATTCTAACCTACTTGGTTTTAATCTGTTTCAGTGAATTCAAAGACACCTGTCCCTCTTTTTGGGACTCCCTCTTCTCCCGTCTTAACTCAACCAGGAACAACCAGGACCAGCTGTGGCTCAGAGATGCAGTCAAGTGACATACATCACTTTTTACACCTCTTCCCTTAACCAAGACCATGGCAATTGGTCCCAACTGAAGTCGTAACATGATGACTACCTGTATTATGAACATTCTCCTTCACCACCAAATACGCTCCTGAAGAAATTGCTTTTGGCGTCCATTTCTTGTCTGGGGGTCAAAGTCAGGAAAATGCTTCCAGAAATTTGAATGTCACGCAGGATGATCGTGCCCTGCAAGTTTCTGCCCTGAGTACCTGGCATGTTAAGAAAGAACACCTCAAGAGCGCCCAGGGGAAAGACATCAAGCGTGCTTTGGCCAACGGCCTTGCCAGCCAAGTTGATACCTTCCATCTGCCCAAATATCCACCCATCCATTGATGATGAAGTAAAAGATGATTCGGGATCTGGAGGCTAAGTCTTACGACGATTGAACTAGGCGTGTCTAGCCTAACCAAGAAAAGGATTAGGAGTGTCATGATAGCTGTCTGCCAATAGTTGAGGGGCTGCCAGAGAGAAAAGGGGGATGGCCTATTCTCCAAAGCATCTGGAACAGGATAAGAAGTAACCAACCGAAAATCATCATGGAGGGATCCAAGCTAGAATGATGGATAAATTTCCTGATAGTGAGAACAATGAATCAGTGGAAAGGCTTGCCTCAGGCTAATTGGAGAATGTGATTAATGACTGCTTCATGGGGGTGGGAATTGCAATTTGTTACGTTGTATCTGGGGGAAGGGAATCTGGTTTTGGGTTGAACTATGTAGTGCCAATACTTTGTTTCCTGAACAAAATGTTCTTTAAGGAAGAATTCTTGCCTTGAAGTTCTTTTGATGGGTTTCATCTATCGGAATCATGAGAGTATATGCAAATACAACTCAACAGAACGTTCTCACTTACAAGTGCACCTCAGCTGAGAAAGGAAGCTCTATATTGCTTTCCATGGCTTTCCAAGTGGCACATCGATTCCTTAATCTGTTCAGATGGAAGAGTACAGCGCTGTCTCCCAAATTTCAATCGGTGACCTTTTAACTATGATGCAGAGAAACAACAGGCTATACAAAGTGGATGAATGGATGAATAAACTGGGTCCAAGCAATTTCTTCAGGCTTGTAAACCATTTTGCACATTCGTAAAATCGGGCAGCAGCACGTGACCTGCTTAACAAATGGCATAATGCTGCAACTTTGGAATTGGCTACAATCATAAATCGAGAACTACCTGTATTATAATGAATGTCAACCTAATGCAGAACATAATTTTTATAGCCTTATTTTCTGTATTTGTTTTCTTGTACAAAACATTCCATCTCCATTATTGATCATGAAGTAAAATACATTTTAAAATAAAATATATTATATTTAATGAAGAAATATATTCAAACAGCTATCTTTGAAAGAGCAGGAGAGGTAATCTAATGCTTCATTCGTTTTTATTCAATGGCCTGCAAAGGAGGGTACTTACAGGCACTACATGATTTATAGCACATACTACAGACTCATGAACCCTACATAAGAAGACAAACCTACATCACCTTTATAAAATCTAATTTAACCCTAACTTATTTAAATTCTCTCTCTCCCTCCCTCCCTCCCTCCCTCCCTCCCTCTCCCAGGATCTAATCTAAGAGGGATATGGCTAATATGTTCATTTATTCTTCACTTTTGTGTCATTGGGAATGCCTGACCTTAACTGTGTTAAGTATTTTCTCTTATGAGGAACAACGTTAATGCCAGAAGACCCAACAAAGAAGCTATCTCAGGCATTTCAGGGTCAGCCAAAAATACACTGCAATGAGTACGATTTCCATATTTTTGGAGAAAGGACCCTTCCGTGCAATAAAAGATAAGAATTGAAACAGAATGAAAACTGAATGAGGAGGAGGGACTTTCTCTCAGGCTCACACCAGGCCCTCCCAAAATGGCACGCTGCTCTTTGGTCCCCACATGAATTGGCAGAGCCAGGTCTTCATGCTCTTTGGAAGGCCGGGAGAGTGAGGACCAATCTCACCTCTGGAGGCAAGATGATCCAGGAGGTGGGGGGCAATGGCAGAGAATGTCTCTTCTTAGATCCCGCCAGTGGACATTCTTTAACTGATAGGGTCTGTAACATACTCTTTCCGCCTAACTGGATGGGACGGCCTGGGACAAGGCGCTTACTTAAGTAAACTGATCCCGTGCCATGAAGGATTTTAAATTGGACCGGAAAACAAACTGGCACCCAATGCAACAAGAGATATTAGAAACAGTTACAAAAATAATTTTTAAAAACCGAGAAATATATTACACAAACTTAACCCAAATTTTATTCTGAATAATTTATTTTTAAACCAAGTTACAAAATACTCATAAAGATAATTCTTTATCAGAAACACCAATAGGAGCATGCTTCATCCAGCCTGGGGAGAAATTAAAAAGGTGGCCCCAGGGAAAAGTACGGGTTGAACCTCTGGAGCAGGTGATAAAACATTGGTTGATGCAGGGCCATTGGTCTAATGGGCTATCGTTATCCACCACAAGATTTATATGCATAAGATAATAAAAAATGGCAGCTGCTGACCAACGCAAAACACAAGAGCTTAGGATAACCTGGCTGCCAGAGAAGTGTCCAACTGGTGGGGGGAAGGAGGTATGTCCCAGGCACTGTAGCTAATCAGAAGGACATGCAACAGGCTATCCCCTCAGAAAGGTTAGTTGTTGTTGTTGTTGTTATCATATGGCATTGTTACAGTAGCCAGGAGACCACAATGCTATTGCAGAGTAGTAGTTTCGCTTGCCAAGATACCAGCCCTGTTATAGGAAATGCTTGTGCGCTTCCCAAGATGCATCGCAGGAGGGCAAGTTGGCTTTGCACCACAGAGAAAGATGAGCGGCTCTTTCTGCAGCATCACCCAAGGCCCCCGATCACAATGACATCATATTTCGAAGTGCCAAACTCCATATCTGCCACGGTCCCACTTTTCCACACATGCTGAAAACCCCCATCCCTCCCGAAGACTGCCGGTACCACGAGGCAGCACCAGCCATGACCGAAGGGCCACATCCGAGTGTAGGTGAAGGATAGGTAAATCACTGAGGCTCCTGGTAGAACATGGCAGAAAAGTGGGGTGAAGTTGAGAGCCCAGGAATGCCAGCAGCGTCTCCCTCGGTGGACATTCCCATCCAATGGCTAGCAGGTGCCTGAGGATTATATTTGTTAGGCCTGGGAAATTTTACACATGCACACTTGCAACTGGGCATGACAGACTTCTCTGACGTCTTTGCATCCTCAAAATTGAGGAGAAGCAGACCGATACCTTGTGCTCTGGAAACCAGAGAATTATGGGAGATGACTATTAGGAAGTAAAAAGCCAAACCAAAATCAAGAAGTCCCACTGATGTTATTGTTGACAATATGCTGCAAATTTAATTGCTGTGTTATATTCGACATTTTCATATTATTTTTTGTAGCCCTGAACTGGTCTGGAAGTGGGTGAGAGAGAGGAAAGCTGCTGCTATGTCAAGCTCTAATGGCGGAAGTTTGGGGAAAATATTCTTTATTCTCAGATTTCAATTACTGACTCTGTATGAATGGAAAAGCGTACGGGGGAACTTGTTTTACTAGTAATAATAACAATTAACATGATCCAAAGAGATATGAGTTAATAATGTCCAAAGTAGGATTAAAATACAAAAGTAACAATTAATAGCTAGAGAAAAGGGGGGTTGGAGAAACGGAAAGTTGCTTCTTGCAAGAGCAAGAATATCTCCAATTCTGCTCTCTCACCTCTGCACCACTTTGTCAGTTTAAATTGTGCATATTTCTCCAACAATCTCCCTGCTTTCTTCAGTGGCACTAATTTTTCTAAGGTGTTTTTCTTCTTACTTCAGCCTCTGATTCCACCAAACGCATCAACGGGATTTTGTAATTACATTTTTCCCAATATTGAAAAATACTGAAATATTGCAAAAAGGAATAAATCTCTGAGTAGCATCCAAACAGCCCATCACTTTGCTTTGCTTTTCCTTTGTGAGGTCATGCTTCATGATGGTGGCGACAGGTAGATGAGCTCACAAAGGAGAAGTAAATAAAACTTCTGGTGGGCTGAATGAAAGCTCTTGTGGGTTTTGAGTAGTGGTGGCGTAGTCAGGTTTTGCTTTTATTTCACAGCGTTTTAATAGCTTAGCTTTTGTTTCTTTTTCGGTATTTATTTTCCTGCTTATTTATCTTTGTTTATTTATCACATTTGTTTATTTACATTTATTTATCTATTTATTTATAATTTACCTATTTATCTATTTATTTATCTATTTGCATATTTATCTATTCATTTATCTATTTATTTATCTATTTATCTATTTATTTATTTATCCATTTATTTATCTATTTGCATATTTATCTATTCATTTATCTATTTATTTATCTATTTATCTATTTATTTATTTATCCATTTATTTATCTATTTGCATATTTATCTATTTATTTATCTATTTATTTATCTATATCTATTTATCTATTTACCTATTTATATATCTATTTATCTATTTATTATATTTAATATATTTATTTATTTAGGTTAGGATTAGTTTAGTTTAGGGCATTAAGGCATTATTTATCTTATTTAATACATTTGTTTATTTCTATTTATTTATCTGTTTATTTATCTATTTATTTGTTCATTTATTTATCTATTTACCTATTTATCAATTTATTTATCTATTTATTTCTCAATTTATTTATTTATCTATTTATTTATTTATCTATTTATTATATTTAATATATTTAGTTAGTTTAGGATTAGTTTAGCTTAGGGCATTAAGGATGGAGACATTCTTATACTATGCAGGGAAACTCCTGTTTCAGGTAAGGCCCTCTTTTTTGTTTATTTATTTATTTACTTGTCAACTGCGTAACTCTAGGATGAGTTCAAGATTCAAAGAGGTAGCATGACATGTAGCATAAATACAGTAATAATCATAATAATAAAATCCCTCTTTCTAATTAATTTTTAACATTGCTTGCCTCTTTTAAATTTTATATACGATGCTCGTGTTTTTAATATTGCATTTGTATAGTACCTAGACTGAGGGAAATGGGCAGTTCTTAAATATGATAAATAAACAAATAAATAGTGTGTGTTCTAGTCTTCTGCGTGCTAAACTGCATTGGCCATTAGTCCTGGTTAACCCTAACCCTAACCCTGTCCCTTGTCCCTTTTTAGCACTGGGAAAGGTTCAGAGTGACATTGATCCCTATTTCAATTCATCAGGTGTAACGAGGGAGGGGAGAGAGCCCCCCACCCCTTCCTACTGTGTTTGGCTGTGACAGATGGAGACAACTGCTGCAATGCATGGATGTGGTCCCCTTCCCCAAATACCTGTTCCCATGACAATCAACCCACTTGCTTATATCACTGACTGCTCCCTCACTATACACAACAGTGGAACCTGAACAGTACATGTAGCAATGTCTTCTCTGATTATCAGCCCAGAACTGTGTCGGAGGAAAGATGGAGAAAAGCTGGCACGGGCTGACTGATTTAATAGTATTTTTATACGGATGACTCCATAGCAACTCTTCACAATTTACAAACAGCTGCCTAAAATCCACACAACTAGTAATCACGAGGCCCAGAGTCACCCTACACTAAACTAGAGATGGGAAGATCCTAGCTTCTGACCATGTTGTCATCAGCACTGTCAATTGTTTGTACAGCCAGGTTTATATTGGAAGAAGAGGGCCATTAAAACATCACTTTAACTGCAGAGCAACTAAAGGGCAGCTTTAGCTGTCCCTGCAGCTGGCTGGAGGTGAAATTCAGGTGATGCCATGAGGGTTGTTACTTAACAATGGCTAGTGAGGGTCTTCATGCTATGGTTAGAGGGGCAGGAGGATGAACTAGCTGATTTGATTCACTCCAACTCTCTAAACAAAATTAGCATACGGGATCCAGTGGAACTTTTGTTCCTGTTAATCCTTTTTCATAAGTGGGAAGTTCTACCATATTTGTATTTTTTTAAAAAACCCAGTTGGCCTTCTGAGTCTAGGATCCCTTCTTTCCAGACTGAGTTGACTTTCTTTGACTCCAATAGCAAAAGACCATCTGAAGAAAAAGCCTTGGAAGTATAATTTCCCATAAATTCATTTTTTCTTTTCTATTTTTTTCAAAAAAGAAAAAAATCTGAAGCACGACATTGGCCAAGCATTGATATGTGCTACTGCGATCGTATCCACACTATGATTTATAATACTTAGTAAATTCGCCTCCTCCAGCTGATTTGTCCTGAGCTGTTCAAAATGTCTTCTTTTGGCAGGTCTGTCTGCAGAAATACAGAGACCACCAAAGAGAACAAAGTGAGTAACCAACTCTTTTGTTTGTGTGGAACCTGTGGCAGGAGTGGGGATACAAAGGCAACCCTCCCTCTGCACCACACCTGACCCTTCCTATTTAATGACCAGTCTTAAATGTTAGTCTTGTTGGCGGGTTAATACGTAATGTCTTTTGGGAATATTGTTTAACAACACAAGTGTTTTTCCATAAAAATACAGAACAGAAGCAGACAGACGAGGTGACATCCTCACGGGAGAAGGAGCTGGCAGAAAAAGATGCCACCATAAGAGCTGTAAGTCATTCATTTCCCTCACAATCCTGATTTAAGCCCCCTCTTTTTGTCTGCGTATCTATATCCGATGACTGATGCATGCTTCCTTTAATTTCCGCATCTTAGTTGGAAGAGGAGAACAAGACGTTAGCCAGCGAACTGGCCCATCTTCTGGAGCGGAATGAGGAACTCAAGCACTTAACAAATCTTGATCCAGAAAGTGAGTCTTATTTTAACTTAAGAACATTTTAATTGTTTTCATTTTAAAAACAAAAGTGATTTATTCATCTTGGCTGTACGAGTTCTAATTTTTTGTTACTTTTTTTTGCCAGGAGAGGCTGACAGAAAGGAGTTGGAGGTTGCAATATTGAAGAAAAAATTGGAAATGGAGCAGAAGGCAATCAGCCGACTCACCGCTGTAAGTATCTTACATGATAGTAAGAAATTAGAACAACCTCTGTAAGCCAGATTTTATAATGTACTAACTGTACTTGCTCAATTTCTTTTAACAGGAGGTCTCAAGAGAGAGGGAGAGGAGAAGAGACCTCATGAGAGCGCGGGACCGGGCAATCGATGCCATCTGCTCCCAGCTACTGTCTATCCCTTATTCGGAGAGAAGATTGTCGGTGAGCTTTGTCCTTCTGCTTCTGGGAGAGAAAGAGACATATTTCAATTGATGACTCTCTACCCCATTCTAAAATATTTGTTTAACAATTTTCAGCCTCTGCAAGAAGCAAATAGAAAAAAATATCTGAATGCGTCAAGAAGGTAAATGATACCATTTTTAAGACATTACATGTTTTTTTCCATAGAAAAGTTATCATACAACATTTGGTAGTAAAAATCAAATCAATTTTGCAACACAATTTTTATTTTTTTACAGTAGCTCGGGGTCAAGTGAAAACAGATGACTCTATCGCGGTCAAGAACATGTGGGTTCCCAACCGCAGATTGTAGTAGAGATGGAGTAAGTGATCTGATATGTTTCTGTTTCATTCTGAATATGGTCAATATTTTCGGGCAAATACGGTAGGAGTCATGCAAAAAAAAAGAAGAATTTTTTTGTTTGAATGTTTCCATGAATTATCCTGAAATTTTCACATTCAGGTTAGGCTATAACATTCAGCCACGAAATAGGAGATTTTAGACAGAATGCCCTCTCTTATGCCATTAGAAATAGAGCTTAGATGGCTTTTCTTGATGTGCTGGGTTGCATTGTTCCAAAGGCAAATGTAATTTAAAAATTTGCTAATATTCTACCTGCTAATTTTTGCTGAGAAGTTATTCATCAGATTAACTATTGTCTCTTTCAACTGGCTAGTTTGCATTAGACAAAAATGCTGTTTGATGTGTAATTTAATGTGTTAGTTATTTTTTATTGAAATTCTTATCTGTGTTTCAAAATAAGATCTGGTTTTTCTTCAAATACAATCTTCAAATACAGGATTGCACTAACATGACTTCCATTCTAACCTACTTGTTTTTAATCTGTTTCAGTGAATTCAAAGACACCTGTCCCTCTTTTTGGGACTCCCTCTTCTCCCGTCTTAACTCAACCAGGAAAAACCAGGACCAGCTGTGGCTCAGAGATGCAGTCAAGTGACATACATCACTTTTTACACCTCTTCCCTTAACCAAGACCATGGCAATTGGTCCCAACTGAAGTCGTAACATGATGACTACCTGTATTATGAACATTCTCCTTCACCACCAAATACGCTCCTGAAGAAATTGCTTTTGGCGTCCATTTCTTGTCTGGGGGTCAAAGTCAGGAAAATGCTTCCAGAAATTTGAATGTCACGCAGGATGATCGTGCCCTGCAAGTTTCTGCCCTGAGTACCTGGCATGTTAAGAAAGAACACCTCAAGAGCGCCCAGGGGAAAGACATCAAGCGTGCTTTGGCCAACGGCCTTGCCAGCCAAGTTGATACCTTCCATCTGCCCAAATGTCCACCCATCCATTGATGATGAAGTAAAAGATGATTCGGGATCTGGAGGCTAAGTCTTACGACGATTGAACTAGGCGTGTCTAGCCTAACCAAGAAAAGGATTAGGAGTGTCATGATAGCTGTCTGCCAATAGTTGAGGGGCTGCCAGAGAGAAAAGGGGGATGGCCTATTCTCCAAAGCATCTGGAACAGGATAAGAAGTAACCAACCGAAAATCATCATGGAGGGATCCAAGCTAGAATGATGGATAAATTTCCTGATAGTGAGAACAATGAATCAGTGGAAAGGCTTGCCTCAGGCTAATTGGAGAATGTGATTAATGACTGCTTCATGGGGGTGGGAATTGCAATTTGTTACGTTGTATCTGGGGGAAGGGAATCTGGTTTTGGGTTGAACTATGTAGTGCCAATACTTTGTTTCCTGAACAAAATGTTCTTTAAGGAAGAATTCTTGCCTTGAAGTTCTTTTGATGGGTTTCATCTATCGGAATCATGAGAGTATATGCAAATACAACTCAACAGAACGTTCTCACTTACAAGTGCACCTCAGCTGAGAAAGGAAGCTCTATATTGCTTTCCATGGCTTTCCAAGTGGCACATCGATTCCTTAATCTGTTCAGATGGAAGAGTACAGCGCTGTCTCCCAAATTTCAATCGGTGACCTTTTAACTATGATGCAGAGAAACAACAGGCTATACAAAGTGGATGAATGGATGAATGGAAACTGGGTCCAAGCAATTTCTTCAGGCTTGTAAACCATTTTGCACATTCGTAAAATCGGGCAGCAGCACGTGACCTGCTTAACAAATGGCATAATGCTGCAACTTTGGAATTGGCTACAATCATAAATCGAGAACTACCTGTATTATAATGAATGTCAACCTAATGCAGAACATAATTTTTATAGCCTTATTTTCTGTATTTGTTTTCTTGTACAAAACATTCCATCTCCATTATTGATCATGAAGTAAAATACATTTTAAAATAAAATATATTATATTTAATGAAGAAATATATTCAAACAGCTATCTTTGAAAGAGCAGGAGAGGTAATCTAATACTTAATTCGTTTTTATTCAATGGCCTGCAAAGGAGGGTACTTACAGGCACTACATGATTTATAGCACATACTACAGACTCATGAACCCTACATAAGAAGACAAACCTACATCACCTTTATAAAATCTAATTTAACCCTAACTTATTTAAATTCTCTCTCTCCCTCCCTCCCTCCCTCCCTCCCTCTCCCAGGATCTAATCTAAGAGGGATATGGCTAATATGTTCATTTATTCTTCACTTTTGTGTCATTGGGAATGCCTGACCTTAACTGTGTTAAGTATTTTCTCTTATGAGGAACAACGTTAATGCCAGAAGACCCAACAAAGAAGCTATCTCAGGCATTTCAGGGTCAGCCAAAAATACACTGCAATGAGTACGATTTCCATATTTTTGGAGAAAGGACCCTTCCGTGCAATAAAAGATAAGAATTGAAACAGAATGAAAACTGAATGAGGAGGAGGGACTTTCTCTCAGGCTCACACCAGGCCCTCCCAAAATGGCATGCTGCTCTTTGGTCCCCACATGAATTGGCAGAGCCAGGTCTTCATGCTCTTTGGAAGGCCGGGAGAGTGAGGACCAATCTCACCTCTGGAGGCAAGATGATCCAGGAGGTGGGGGGCAATGGCAGAGAATGTCTCTTCTTAGATCCCGCCAGTAGACATTCTTTAACTGATAGAGTCTGTAACATACTCTTTCTGCCTAACTGGATGGGACGGCCTGGGACAAGGCGCTTACTTAAGTAAACTGATCCCGTGCCATGAAGGATTTTAAATTGGACCGGAAAACAAACTGGCACCCAATGCAACAAGAGATATTAGAAACAGTTACAAAAATAATTTTTAAAAACCGAGAAATATATAACACAAACTTAACCCAAATTTTATTCTGAATAATTTATTTTTAAACCAAGTTACAAAATACTCATAAAGATAATTCTTTATCAGAAATCCCAATAGGAGCATGCTTCATCCAGCCTGGGGAGAAATTAAAAAGGTGGCCCCAGGGAAAAGTACGGGTTGAACCTCTGGAGCAGGTGATAAAACATGGGTTGATGCAGGGCCATTGGTCTAACGGGCTATCGTTATCCACCACAAGATTTATATGCATAAGATAATAAAAAATGGCAGCTGCTGACCAACGCAAAACACAAGAGCTTAGGATACCCTGGCTGCCAGAGAAGTGTCCAACTGGTGGGGGGAAGGAGGTATGTCCCAGGCACTGTAGCTAATCAGAAGGACATGCAACAGGCTATCCCCTCAGAAAGGTTAGTTGTTGTTGTTGTTGTTATCATATGGCATTGTTACAGTAGCCAGGAGACCACAATGCTATTGCAGAGTAGTAGTTTCGCTTGCCAAGATACCAGCCCTGTTATAGGAAATGCTTGTGCGCTTCCCAAGATGCATCGCAGGAGGCAAGTTGGCTTTGCACCACAGAGAAAGATGAACGGCTCTTTCTGCAGCATCACCCAAGGCCCCCGATCACAATGACATCATATTTCGAAGTGCCAAACTCCATATCTGCCACGGTCCCACTTTTCCACACATGCTGAAAACCCCCATCCCTCCCGAAGACTGCCGGTACCACGAGGCAGCACCAGCCATGACCGAAGGGCCACATCCGAGTGTAGGTGAAGGATAGGTAAATCACTGAGGCTCCTGGTAGAACATGGCAGAAAAGTGGGGTGAAGTTGAGAGCCCAGGAATGCCAGCAGCGTCTCCCTCGGTGGACATTCCCATCTCTTACCAGTGATTACAATGGCTAGCAGGTGCCTGAGGATTGTATTTGTTAGGCCTGGGAAATTTTACACATGCACACTTGCAACTGGGCATGACAGACTTCTCTGACTTCTCTTTGCATCCTCAAAGTTGAGGAGAAGCAGACCGATACCTTGTACTCTGGAAACCAGAGAATTATGGGAGATGACTATTAGGAAGTAAAAAGCCAAACCAAAATCAAGAAGTCCCACTGATGTTATTGTTGACAATATGCTGCAAATTTAATTGCTGTGTTATATTCGACATTTTCATATTATTTTTTGTAGCCCTGAACTGGTCTGGAAGTGGGTGAGAGAGAGGAAAGCTGCTGCTATGTCAAGCTCTAATGGCGGAAGTTTGGGGAAAATATTCTTTATTCTCAGATTTCAATTACTGACTCTGTATGAATGGAAAAGCGTACGGGGGAACTTGTTTTACTAGTAATAATAACAATTAACATGATCCAAAGAGATATGAGTTAATAATGTCCAAAGTAGGATTAAAATACAAAAGTAACAATTAATAGCTAGAGAAAAGGGGGGTTGGAGAAAGGGAAAGGTGCTTCTTGCAAGAGCAAGAATATCTCCAATTCTGCTCTCTCACCTCTGCACCACTTTGTCAGTTTAAATTGTGCATATTTCTCCAACAATCTCCCTGCTTTCTTCAGTGGCACTAATTTTTCTAAGGTGTTTTTCTTCTTACTTCAGCCTCTGATTCCACCAAACGCATCAACGGGATTTTGTAATTACATTTTTCCCAATATTGAAAAATACTGAAATATTGCAAAAAGGAATAAATCTCTGAGTAGCATCCAAACAGCCCATCACTTTGCTTTGCTTTTCCTTTGTGAGGTCATGCTTCATGATGGTGGCGACAGGTAGATGAGCTCACAAAGGAGAAGTAAATAAAACTTCTGGTGGGCTGAATGAAAGCTCTTGTGGGTTTTGAGTAGTGGTGGCGTAGTCAGGTTTTGCTTTTATTTCACAGCGTTTTAATAGCTTAGCTTTTGTTTCTTTTTCGGTATTTATTTTCCTGCTTATTTATCTTTGTTTATTTATCACATTTGTTTATTTACATTTATTTATCTATTTATTTATAATTTACCTATTTATCTATTTATTTATCTATTTGCATATTTATCTATTCATTTATCTATTTATTTATCTATTTATCTATTTATTTATTTATCCATTTATTTATCTATTTGCATATTTATCTATTCATTTATCTATTTATTTATCTATTTATTTATTTATCCATTTATTTATCTATTTGCATATTTATCTATTTATTTATCTATTTATTTATCTATATCTATTTATCTATTTACCTATTTATATATCTATTTATCTATTTATTATATTTAATATATTTATTTATTTAGGTTAGGATTAGTTTAGTTTAGGGCATTAAGGCATTATTTATCTTATTTAATACATTTGTTTATTTCTATTTATTTATCTGTTTATTTATCTATTTATTTATTCATTTATTTATCTATTTACCTATTTATCAATTTATTTATCTATTTATTTCTCAATTTATTTATTTATCTATTTATTTATTTATCTATTTATTATATTTAATATATTTAGTTAGTTTAGGATTAGTTTAGTTTAGGGCATTAAGGATGGAGACATTCTTATACTATGCAGGGAAACTCCTGTTTGAGGTAAGGCCCTCTTTTTTGTTTATTTATTTATTTACTTGTCAACTGCGTAACTCTAGGATGAGTTCAAGATTCAAAGAGGTAGCATGACATGTAGCATAAATAATAATCATCATAATAAAATCCCTCCTTCTAATTAATTTTTAACATCACTTGCCTCTTTTAAATTTTATATACGATGCTCGTGTTTTTAATATTGCATTTGTATAGTACCTAGACTGAGGGAAATGGGCAGTTCTTAAATATGATAAATAAACAAATAAATAGTGTGTGTTCTAGTCTTCTGCGTGCTAAACTGCATTGGCCATTAGTCCTGGTTAACCCTAACCCTAACCCTGTCCCTTGTCCCTTTTTAGCACTGGGAAAGGTTCAGAGTGACATTGATCCCTATTTCAATTCATCAGGTGTAACGAGGGAGGGGAGAGAGCCCCCCACCCCTTCCTACTGTGTTTGGCTGTGACAGATGGAGACAACTGCTGCAATGCATGGATGTGGTCCCCTTCCCCAAATACCTGTTCCCATGACAATCAACCCACTTGCTTATATCACTGACTGCTCCCTCACTATACACAACAGTGGAACCTGAACAGTACATGTAGCAATGTCTTCTCTGATTATCAGCCCAGAACTGGGTCGGAGGAAAGATGGAGAAAAGCTGGCACGGGCTGACTGATTTAATAGTATTTTTATACGGATGACTCCATAGCAACTCTTCACAATTTACAAACAGCTGCCTAAAATCCATACAACTAGTAATCACGAGGCCCAGAGTCACCCTACACTAAACTAGAGATGGGAAGATCCTAGCTTCTGACCATGTTGTCATCAGCACTGTCAATTGTTTGTACAGCCAGGTTTATATTGGAAGAAGAGGGCCATTAAAACATCACTTTAACTGCAGAGCAACTAAAGGGCAGCTTTAGCTGTCCCTGCAGCTGGCTGGAGGTGAAATTCAGGTGATGCCATGAGGGTTGTTACTTAACAATGGCTAGTGAGGGTCTTCATGCTATGGTTAGAGGGGCAGGAGGATGAACTAGCTGATTTGATTCACTCCAACTCTCTAAACAAAATTAGCATACGGGATCCAGTGGAACTTTTGTTCCTGTTAATCCTTTTTCATAAGTGGGAAGTTCTACCATATTTGTATTTTTTTAAAAAACCCAGTTGGCCTTCTGAGTCTAGGATCCCTTCTTTCCAGACTGAGTTGACTTTCTTTGACTCCAATAGCAAAAGACCATCTGAAGAAAAAGCCTTGGAAGTATAATTTCCCATAAATTCATTTTTTCTTTTCTATTTTTTTCAAAAAAGAAAAAAATCTGAAGCACGACATTGGCCAAGCATTGATATGTGCTACTGCGATCGTATCCACACTATGATTTATAATACTTAGTAAATTCGCCTCCTCCAGCTGATTTGTCCTGAGCTGTTCAAAATGTCTTCTTTTGGCAGGTCTGTCTGCAGAAATACAGAGACCACCAAAGAGAACAAAGTGAGTAACCAACTCTTTTGTTTGTGTGGAACCTGTGGCAGGAGTGGGGACACAAAGGCAACCCTCCCTCTGCACCACACCTGACTCTTCCTATTTAATGACCAGTCTTAAATGTTAGTCTTGTTGGCGGGTTAATACGTAATGTCTTTTGGGAATATTGTTTAACAACACAAGTGTTTTTCCATAAAAATACAGAACAGAAGCAGATAGACAAGGTGACATCCTCACGGGAGAAGGAGCTGGCAGAAAAAGATGCCACCATAAGAGCTGTAAGTCATTCATTTCCCTCACAATCCTGATTTAAGCCCCCTCTTTTTGTCTGCGTATCTATATCCGATGACTGATGCATGCTTCCTTTAATTTCCGCATCTTAGTTGGAAGAGGAGAACAAGACGTTAGCCAGCGAACTGGCCCATCTTCTGGAGCGGAATGAGGAACTCAAGCACTTAACAAATCTTGATCCAGAAAGTGAGTCTTATTTTAACTTAAGAACATTTTAATTGTTTTCATTTTAAAAACCAAAGTGATTTATTCATCTTGGCTGTACGAGTTCTAATTTTTTGTTACTTTTTTTGCCAGGAGAGGCTGACAGAAAGGAGTTGGAGGTTGCAATATTGAAGAAAAAATTGGAAATGGAGCAGAAGGCAATCAGCCGACTCACCGCTGTAAGTATCTTACATGATAGTAAGAAATTAGAACAACCTCTGTAAGCCAGATTTTATAATGTACTAACTGTACTTGCTCAATTTCTTTTAACAGGAGGTCTCAAGAGAGAGGGAGAGGAGAAGAGACCTCATGAGAGCGCGGGACCGGGCAATCGATGCCATCTGCTCCCAGCTACTGTCTATCCCTTATTCGGAGAGAAGATTGTCGGTGAGCTTTGTCCTTCTGCTTCTGGGAGAGAAAGAGACATATTTCAATTGATGACTCTCTACCCCATTCTAAAATATTTGTTTAACAATTTTCAGCCTCTGCAAGAAGCAAATAGAAAAAAATATCTGAATGCGTCAAGAAGGTAAATGATACCATTTTTAAGACATTACATGTTTTTTTCCATAGAAAAGTTATCATACAACATTTGGTAGTAAAAATCAAATCAATTTTGCAACACAATTTTTATTTTTTTACAGTAGCTCGGGGTCAAGTGAAAACAGATGACTCTATCGCGGTCAAGAACATGTGGGTTCCCAACCGCAGATTGTAGTAGAGATGGAGTAAGTGATCGGATATGTTTCTGTTTCATTCTGAATATGGTCAATATTTTCGGGCAAATACGGTAGGAGTCATGCAAAAAAAAAGAAGAATTTTTTTGTTTGAATGTTTCCATGAATTATCCTGAAATTTTCACATTCAGGTTAGGCTATAACATTCAGCCACGAAATAGGAGATTTTAGACAGAATGCCCTCTCTTATGCCATTAGAAATAGAGCTTAGATGGCTTTTCTTGATGTGCTGGGTTGCATTGTTCCAAAGGCAAATGTAATTTAAAAATTTGCTAATATTCTACCTGCTAATTTTTGCTGAGAAGTTATTCATCAGATTAACTATTGTCTCTTTCAACTGGCTAGTTTGCATTAGACAAAAATGCTGTTTGATGTGTAATTTAATGTGTTAGTTATTTTTTATTGAAATTCTTATCTGTGTTTCAAAATAAGATCTGGTTTTTCTTCAAATACAATCTTCAAATACAGGATTGCACTAACATGACTTCCATTCTAACCTACTTGTTTTTAATCTGTTTCAGTGAATTCAAAGACACCTGTCCCTCTTTTTGGGACTCCCTCTTCTCCCGTCTTAACTCAACCAGGAACAACCAGGACCAGCTGTGGCTCAGAGATGCAGTCAAGTGACATACACACTTTGGCAATTGGTCCCAACCCAACTGAAGTCGTAACATGATGACTACCTGTATTATGAACATTCTCCTTCACCACCAAATACGCTCCTGAAGAAATTGCTTTTGGCGTCCATTTCTTGTCTGGGGGTCAAAGTCAGGAAAATGCTTCCAGAAATTTGAATGTCACGCAGGATGATCGTGCCCTGCAAGTTTCTGCCCTGAGTACCTGGCATGTTAAGAAAGAACACCTCAAGAGCGCCCAGGGGAAAGACATCAAGCGTGCTTTGGCCAACGGCCTTGCCAGCCAAGTTGATACCTTCCATCTGCCCAAATGTCCACCCATCCATTGATGATGAAGTAAAAGATGATTCGGGATCTGGAGGCTAAGTCTTACGACGATTGAACTAGGCGTGTCTAGCCTAACCAAGAAAAGGATTAGGAGTGTCATGATAGCTGTCTGCCAATAGTTGAGGGGCTGCCAGAGAGAAAAGGGGGATGGCCTATTCTCCAAAGCATCTGGAACAGGATAAGAAGTAACCAACCGAAAATCATCATGGAGGGATCCAAGCTAGAATGATGGATAAATTTCCTGATAGTGAGAACAATGAATCAGTGGAAAGGCTTGCCTCAGGCTAATTGGAGAATGTGATTAATGACTGCTTCATGGGGGTGGGAATTGCAATTTGTTACGTTGTATCTGGGGGAAGGGAATCTGGTTTTGGGTTGAACTATGTAGTGCCAATACTTTGTTTCCTGAACAAAATGTTCTTTAAGGAAGAATTCTTGCCTTGAAGTTCTTTTGATGGGTTTCATCTATCGGAATCATGAGAGTATATGCAAATACAACTCAACAGAACGTTCTCACTTACAAGTGCACCTCAGCTGAGAAAGGAAGCTCTATATTGCTTTCCATGGCTTTCCAAGTGGCACATCGATTCCTTAATCTGTTCAGATGGAAGAGTACAGCGCTGTCTCCCAAATTTCAATCGGTGACCTTTTAACTATGATGCAGAGAAACAACAGGCTATACAAAGTGGATGAATGGATGAATGGATGAACTGGGTCCAAGCAATTTCTTCAGGCTTGTAAACCATTTTGCACATTCGTAAAATCGGGCAGCAGCACGTGACCTGCTTAACAAATGGCATAATGCTGCAACTTTGGAATTGGCTACAATCATAAATCGAGAACTACCTGTATTATAATGAATGTCAACCTAATGCAGAACATAATTTTTATAGCCTTATTTTCTGTATTTGTTTTCTTGTACAAAACATTCCATCTCCATTATTGATCATGAAGTAAAATACATTTTAAAATAAAATATATTATATTTAATGAAGAAATATATTCAAACAGCTATCTTTGAAAGAGCAGGAGAGGTAATCTAATGCTTCATTCGTTTTTATTCAATGGCCTGCAAAGGAGGGCACTTACAGGCACTACATGATTTATAGCACATACTACAGACTCATGAACCCTAAATAAGAAGACAAACCTACATCACCTTTATAAAATCTAATTTAACCCTGACTTATTTAAATTCTCTCCCTCCCTCCCTCTCCCAGGATCTAATTTAAGAGGGATACGGCTAATATGTTCATTTATTCCTCACTTTTGTGTCATTGGGAATGCCTGACCTTAACTGTGTTAAGTATTTTCTCTTATGAGGAACAACATTAATGCCAGAAGACCCAACAAAGAAGCTATCTCAGGCATTTCAGGGTCAGCCAAAAATACACTGCAATGAGTACGATTTCCATATTTTTGGAGAAAGGACCCTTCAGTGCAATAAAAGATAAGAATTGAAACAGAATGAAAACTGAATGAGGAGGAGGGACTTTCTCTCAGGCTCACACCAGGCCCTCCCAAAATGGCACGCTGCTCTTTGGTCCCCACATGAATTGGCAGAGCCAGGTCTTCATGCTCTTTGGAAGGCCGGGAGAGTGAGGACCAATCTCACCTCTGGAGGCAAGATGATCCAGGAGGTGGGGGGCAATGGCAGAGAATGTCTCTTCTTAGATCCCGCCAGTGGACATTCTTTAACTGATAGGGTCTGTAACATACTCTTTCCGCCTAACTGGATGGGACGGCCTGGGACAAGGCGCTTACTTAAGTAAACTGATCCCGTGCCATGAAGGATTTTAAATTGGACCGGAAAACAAACTGGTACCCAATGCAACAAGAGATATTAGAAACAGTTACAAAAATAATTGTTAAAAACCGAGAAATATATTACACAAACTTAACCCAAATTTTATTCTGAATAATTTATTTTTAAACCAAGTTACAAAATACTCATAAAGATAATTCTTTATCAGAAACACCAATAGGAGCATGCTTCATCCAGCCTGGGGAGAAATTAAAAAGGTGGCCCCAGGGAAAAGTACGGGTTGAACCTCTGGAGCAGGTGATAAAACATTGGTTGATGCAGGGCCATTGGTCTAACGGGCTATCGTTATCCACCACAAGATTTATATGCATAAGATAATAAAAAATGGCAGCTGCTGACCAACGCAAAACACAAGAGCTTAGGATAACCTGGCTGCCAGAGAAGTGTCCAACTGGTGGGGGGAAGGAGGTATGTCCCAGGCACTGTAGCTAATCAGAAGGACATGCAACAGGCTATCCCCTCAGAAAGGTTAGTTGTTGTTGTTGTTGTTATCATATGGCATTGTTACAGTAGCCAGGAGACCACAATGCTATTGCAGAGTAGTAGTTTCGCTTGCCAAGATACCAGCCCTGTTATAGGAAATGCTTGTGCGCTCTCCAAGATGCATCGCAGGAGGGCAAGTTGGCTTTGCACCACAGAGAAAGATGAACGGCTCTTTCTGCAGCATCATCCAAGGCCCCCGATCACAATGACATCATATTTCGAAGTGCCAAACTCCATATCTGCCACGGTCCCACTTTTCCACACATGCTGAAAACCCCCATCCCTCCCGAAGACTGCCGGTACCACGAGACAGCACCAGCCATGACCGAAGGGCCACATACGAGTGTAGGTGAAGGATAGGTAAATCACTGAGGCTCCTGGTAGAACATGGCAGAAAAGTGGGGTGAAGTTGAGAGCCCAGGAATGCCAGCAGCGTCTCCCTCGGTGGACATTCCCATCTCTTACCAGTGATTACAATGGCTAGCAGGTGCCTGAGGATTGTATTTGTTAGGCCTGGGAAATTTTACACATGCACACTTGCAACTGGGCATGACAGACTTCTCTGACTTCTCTTTGCATCCTCAAAGTTGAGGAGAAGCAGACCGATACCTTGTACTCTGGAAACCAGAGAATTATGGGAGATGACTATTAGGAAGTAAAAAGCCAAACCAAAATCAAGAAGTCCCACTGATGTTATTGTTGACAATATGCTGCAAATTTAATTGCTGTGTTATATTCGACATTTTCATATTATTTTTTGTAGCCCTGACCTGGTCTGGAAGTGGGTGAGAGAGAGGAAAGCTGCTGCTATGTCAAGCTCTAATGGCGGAAGTTTGGGGAAAATATTCTTTATTCTCAGATTTCAATTACTGACTCTGTATGAATGGAAAAGCGTACGGGGGAACTTGTTTTACTAGTAATAATAACAATTAACATGATCCAAAGAGATATGAGTTAATAATGTCCAAAGTAGGATTAAAATACAAAAGTAACAATTAATAGCTAGAGAAAAGGGGGGTTGGAGAAACGGAAAGTTGCTTCTTGCAAGAGCAAGAATATCTCCAATTCTGCTCTCTCACCTCTGCACCACTTTGTCAGTTTAAATTGTGCATATTTCTCCAACAATCTCCCTGCTTTCTTCAGTGGCACTAATTTTTCTAAGGTGTTTTTCTTCTTACTTCAGCCTCTGATTCCACCAAACGCATCAACGGGATTTTGTAATTACATTTTTCCCAATATTGAAAAATACTGAAATATTGCAAAAAGGAATAAATCTCTGAGTAGCATCCAAACAGCCCATCACTTTGCTTTGCTTTTCCTTTGTGAGGTCATGCTTCATGATGGTGGCGACAGGTAGATGAGCTCACAAAGGAGAAGTAAATAAAACTTCTGGTGGGCTGAATGAAAGCTCTTGTGGGTTTTGAGTAGTGGTGGCGTAGTCAGGTTTTGCTTTTATTTCACAGCGTTTTAATAGCTTAGCTTTTGTTTCTTTTTCGGTATTTATTTTCCTGCTTATTTATCTTTGTTTATTTATCACATTTGTTTATTTACATTTATTTATCTATTTATTTATAATTTACCTATTTATCTATTTATTTATCTATTTGCATATTTATCTATTCATTTATCTATTTATTTATCTATTTATCTATTTATTTATTTATCCATTTATTTATCTATTTGCATATTTATCTATTCATTTATCTATTTATTTATCTATTTATCTATTTATTTATTTATCCATTTATTTATCTATTTGCATATTTATCTATTTATTTATCTATATCTATTTATCTATTTACCTATTTATATATCTATTTATCTATTTATTATATTTAATATATTTATTTATTTAGGTTAGGATTAGTTTAGTTTAGGGCATTAAGGCATTATTTATCTTATTTAATACATTTGTTTATTTCTATTTATTTATCTGTTTATTTATCTATTTATTTATTCATTTATTTATCTATTTACCTATTTATCAATTTATTTATCTATTTATTTCTCAATTTATTTATTTATCTATTTATTTATTTATCTATTTATTATATTTAATATATTTAGTTAGTTTAGGATTAGTTTAGTTTAGGGCATTAAGGATGGAGACATTCTTATACTATGCAGGGAAACTCCTGTTTGAGGTAAGGCCCTCTTTTTTGTTTATTTATTTATTTACTTGTCAACTGCGTAACTCTAGGATGAGTTCAAGATTCAAAGAGGTAGCATGACATGTAGCATAAATAATAATCATCATAATAAAATCCCTCCTTCTAATTAATTTTTAACATCACTTGCCTCTTTTAAATTTTATATACGATGCTCGTGTTTTTAATATTGCATTTGTATAGTACCTAGAC